TGTTAGGGCTCTAAGAATCCTTAGAAATGATACTGAACCTGCTCCACAGCAATATAACCAATGTTGATAAAGCCTCAACCCAAGTTCAACTACATACAGCCTGACTAAAAGAGCTTTAGCCAAAAATATAATTACTAAAGCCAAGGTATGAAAAGTCTTATGAGGCCACACTCAAACAGTGACAAGAAAAGTAAGTCATTGAATTTAGTTATTTAAAGGATTATACTGCCAATAATATTCAGTCACATTTCACATATCTGTATTTCACCCACCCAATTCAAGCATAGTAATAGACATCTTTTTCTGATTATTCAGCAACCAGAATGTTAAGAAGTTCAAAGTGCTAAAGCTCACTCACTTAACTCAGGCCTCTGGTGTCTTTTTTTTTTTAAACATATGATAAATTTACTTATCTGCTTTCCCAATTCACAACCAATCACAATTAGCAAGTCAGGATGGGAAGCACAAAGGAAAGAGCTGCTAGAAAGAAACAGGCAGAGTTGTGAGAAGTAACAGCTAATTTGGTAGGAAGAGACAGCAAAAGTGACAAGAACTCCAAATACACAACCTCCTGGGGCCATGTGGCAAAAAGCCTCAAGAGGGACCTCAAGAGTCTCCAAGAGCAGCCACTGCACAGGCATATTCAGAGAAACAGATCCAGACTAAGGTCAGCAATAAGGATTATATGATGCTACAGAGTCTTTTCAAAGAAGGTAGGGAAATGTGTAATCCTTTCTTAAAAGAAATTCATTCAAAATGTTTTAAATATTATTGTTTATTGTGGTTTAAATCTGAACACTTAAATTATAAGCTGCAGTTATAGAGAAGATCGTGCTCCACAATAAACGCTGAGTAAAGCACTATAGTTGATGGGAGAATTTAAAGCCTAACTCAAACAATAATTACATGGAAAATATGAGCAGCTCATTCCCCGACTACACGGGAAAAATGAGGCACAACTGTTATTTGAAATAACATTCAAGTTACAAAATAATATCTTGACCTATAGAAAACTAAGAACAACTACGTACGTCATTAAAAGTACTTTAATTTTGAAAATCACCGTTTGTCTCCACTCTGCTTAGCTTATCACATTATCTCCTTAAATCACTCATTAGTCCTTTCTATCTACAAGACAGAAAAATTATAACTTTGTGTGGAGAGTTTCTCTTAAAGTATTGATTTAAAAGTTTAACAAATAGTTTTAAATCTGTTTATGAATATGTATTTAAACGTATATTTTAATAATTTTCTCATAAAACAATGTTAACTCATAAAAAGAGACTTTAGATTTTAACTCCCTTTATCAAGAGAACTAAAATCAAAGAAATATATAAGCTTTTCAATAAACTACAAAGCTTAAAAGTGACAGAAAAAACAATATCTGATTTTTCTATGGATGAAAAATGCAGGTTAAAAAAAGCCTGAAGGACTTTAACGATTTAATTGTTCAAAATTCAAAACGGTAGGGGCTGGCCCCGTGGCCGAGTGGTTAAGTTCACATGCTCCGCTGCAGGCGGCCCAGTGTTTCGTTGGTTTGAATCCTGGGTGCGGACATGGCACTGCTCATCAAACCACGCTGAGGCAGCGTCCCACATGCCACAACTAGAAGGACCCACAACTAAGAATATGCAACTATGTAACGGGGTGCTTTGGGGAGAAAAAGGAAAAAAATAAAATCTTAAAATAAAAAAAAAAAAATCAAAACGGTAGAGAATATGCAGGGAAAATAGTAGTAGTTGGTGCACAGAACTAAAGTCAGTCTGTGAATATTTTGGAGTTGAGTATGGAATATTTAGAGGCCTCAAATGACCTATTTTCTCTCCACCACAATCTGCGAAAAACATAATAAAACTATTTATTTGCTGAGATAAATACCATCCAAGTATTTGTAGTCTACAATATACTGAAAAAAAAAACTGATGAAATACCTACAATCACAATGAACCAATATTCAACTCAATTCAATTCAATTCCTAACTATCCTACCTAACCAAACAACCTCCTTCGACAGTTGAAACTATAACAATATTGTTCTTGTATAAGGCATTTTAAACCTAAAGAACTGTGTAGTTATATAGTAAGGTTTTAAACCTAAACTGAGAGTATGTCTAAGTTGTTCAAGGGGTAAGGAAAAGCAATGCTGTATAAGTATTAACATACACTAGAATGATAGTGGGGGGCGAGTTTGGTGTGGTTTTGGAAACTGTTCAATTTTTGTAGAACAGCAGAGAATCACAAAATGGAAGGCAGAGTTCAAATGTTTTTGTTTATAGAGAAAAATGCACATGCCTCATCAAGCTACCATTAAACTTATGTCTATCTGTACCTACTAGTATTAGGAGAAATTCAAAACCAAATATGAGCACATTTTGCTTGAAGGCTATTATTAGCTTTAGGGCTGCCTTGAAGGTTACCAATGATCTAGTCCAAGATTATTTTACATATGAGAAAAGGGGAAAATGGGAAGGTTGCATAGCTTGTTAAAGGACATACAACTAGATATTGACAAGGTAAACTTAGAACTCAATTATATTTACACTAAACCAACTTCTTCCAAACTTAAATATCAAATCACCTCTGATTTGACAAACAAGAATTTAAAAATGAAATCATTAAGACACATGGGTGAGATACCAAGGATCTGGTAACTTTAAAAGGCAGAGAAAAGCAACAGAAATGTATAGTGATTTGTCCATTTGGGTGAATTTGAGGCAGGACTACATAAAACATCTAAATGGCCTACAGTGACTTTTTTTCCAACCAGTAAAAGTCTTTTAGACAAAGCCTATCAAATAGATCCCATAACTAGACAAGGATGATAATTTACGTGCACCGTCAACTATTTGGATATTTAGAAGAGCCTTAGTGGGGCCCATCTCATGGCGTAGTGGTTAAGTTCAACACGCTCTGCTTCAGTGGCCCAGGGTTCAGTTCCCAGGCACAGACCCACACAACTCGCTGGCCACCACGCTGTGCTGGCAATCCACATACAAAATAGAAGCAGACTGGCACAGATGTCAACTCAGGGTGAATCTTCTTCAAGCAAAAAGAGGAGGATTGCCAACAGATGTTAGCTCAGGCTGAATCTTCCTCAGCCAAAAAAAAAAGAACAGCCTTAGTAATATTATCCACATAAATAAATAAACAAATTGAAATTGAAGCCAGAAACTGGAGTTTATTTTAGCAAGAATACTAAATTTATGTGTAAACTCTAACTAAAGTCAGTACTTATATTCATTTCAGAGTAGAAAAGAATAATTCAGCAAACAAAATAATGAAAATACAGGTAGCCCAGACAGCTATCCACACATATCAGTGTGATGTGACTGAAATTTCTTAAACATAATTTAAAATGTAATTTAAGCAAGGTTGAGATATGTCTCTTTCTTCTCCTGAACTGCCTCCGATGAGAGCAAATGAACATTAAATGACCTAAAACTAGCCATGACAAAAATGGAAAAGCAAAAGGAATAGTACCTACCACTGAATTTACTCGTTCAATAAATATTTACTGAGTGTCAGGTGCTATGGCAGGAAGTAAAACAATTTTTAAAAAAGAAGACTAAGCAAATACACAAGTTCATTGCTCTGTGAAGTTTGTCTGTTGGAGGTTTTATGAAATACATTATCCCAAGAAACACTGTATATGTTGGAGCCTGCTTGAGACCATCCTCTTTAAGAAAAAATAATTCTTTTTAATATCTGTAAAATAAAGGTAAGAAAATCAGCCTCTTATTGTTCTATTTACCTAACTTAAAAAAAAAGATTTGCCTAGATTTTTAAAAACTTAATACAGTCTATCTTTCTGGCAAGAGTGCATCCCAGACAGTACAAATGGTAAATTAAACAGATTCCATATCATTTTACTGTTTACAACTCAAAGTGCCACAACAGTCAGTGAAGCAGGTCTTCCTGCTAGATAGGGGAAGATTTGTAAGAGCTCTAGTTAAAAAAAAAAAAAGTCACCCAAAGTTATTGAATATAAATCCTAGTATAAATATCTGTATTCTGTTTAAGATGCTGGCACATTTTTACACAAGCAAAAGAAAAAATAGAGATACAAATTGCAAAGGAGGAAAAGGTTTCATCATTCCCTGATTCTTAGAGGATTATCCACAGTTGACGATGAGGGGTTTGATGGAACAAAGTAATTTTAAAATAACTTCATGGTTCAAAGGAGCTCCTAAGAAATGGATGGCTAGGACTTCAATTTTTTTTTAAATACCCAGAAATAAGATTCAAAATAAATCAGCGTGTTAAAAATTAGTTATTTCTGAATACCAGGTTTATGGAAACTATTCCTTTTATGTTGCTATATTTTCTAGAGGCAGGGAATACTACGTTTATAACTAGAAAACATTTAAGGAAAGGCAGACCTTGGGGTAAATCATTAACACGAAGACTAGGTGTCCTCCATAATAGACTCTTGATAACAACTGCAGAAAACAGCACCAGCAATGCAATTTAAAAGTGGAGAGGAATACACGCGCGCGCGCGCACACACACACTTGGCTAGCTTGCAGTAGGCACTCAATATTTGTGGCAAGAAATATCTGAATTTACATGCAAACAAGCCAAAATAAAATGCACTCGGCTTTTGTGGCAACACAGTAAACAATCACAATAACGACCATTTTACCAAAAGCTGGCTGACAGCTTAATGTGCAATACACGAAAGAGCTCTGCCTCTCTGCCTCCTCCTTTACTCTGACATTCGATTGCACATTCAAAACAAATCCTCCCCCAGCCCCGCCCCAAGCCCTACCCGAGGCTGCTTCCAGCCCTGGAACCGACGGGAAAGCCCGGGCCTCGGCGGCGCCCAGACTCGGAGGCGCCCGGGGCGCTGCGGGCAGCGGCCACGCCCGACGCGGCACAGGCTGGAGCGTTGGTGCTACAGCCCCTCGGCTCCGGGCCCCAGGGCTCGCGCGCTCGCCCTCGCCCTCGCCCGCGGCGCCGGCGGCCTCCTCCCCGCTCCCGAGCGGCGGGCCGCGCCGTACCTGCACACCGTGATCAGGTTCCTCCTCTCCACCGCAGCATTGCGGGCGCTCAGGCTCTTCTTGTTGCCGCCGCCGCGGCTCCCGCTCAGGCCCCCCAGGCTCCGGGAGGCCATGGAGGGCTGACCCCCGCTCCCTTTTGTCTCGTGCGACCCCGCCCGCCCCCTACACCTGCTTTCCAGAGCTCTCCCTCGGTCTGCGGCCGTGGTGGCGCGGGAGAGTCGGAGGGAAGGAGCGCAGATGGAGGGAGGGTGTGGAAGACGGCGGCGGACTCGCACCGGGGACTGACGGCTCGTGCTCGCACCCGAGCTCCTCACACACATACACACTCACGCGCGCACACCACTCCGGCCCTTGCGCGCGCCGCCGCCCGCCGGGCGGGTCCGCGTCGGGCGCTCCCCCACCTCCCGAGGGACCTGGAAAGCCGGCGCGCGCGCGCCCGCCGGCCCCGCACGCCCAACCACCGGCACTCGGCCACCACAAGCGCTCCGGCCGCGGCAGCTGAGGTGAGGCCTTGGGCCTCGCGCGCGCAGCCCCGCCCTCCGTGCACCTACCCGGGCAACGCCGCCCCACCTGCAGCCAATCGCGGCGCGCGAGGGGCGGGGCCGGCCGTGCGGAGCGTTAAAGCAACGTGGTCGAGCCCCGCCTCGGCGCGTGGGCAGCTGTCAAGATGCCGGGCTCGCGCTCGGCGCCCGCGTGCGGGAGACAGTCAGCGCGCCTGGGAGCAGCGCTGCTCTTTGCTCCCGGGTGGAGGGTTGCGGAGCACGGAAGTGCCCAGGGCGGATTACTGACCCTAGCCTAACTGCTGAGATCTCTAGCTTTAATGGCTGATCGTTTTCCCCGAAGCCCGCTCCCCAGTCCTGTGGCATCTGTCGCAACAGCGCCGAGAACGCGGCAGCGCCAGCTCCCGCACCCCATCCAGGGCCCGACTCCCAGGAAAGGAGCGGGGTTCCTTTTGTCCTAACGCCTGTACTGCCTGATAAACAGCCGCAAATAACCGGAGGAGGGAACTTGTCCCTGGAATACCCCTCTTGGGCGTCTGTGGTGGGATTTCTTGACACTTCCCGCCACGTCGCCCCTACCCTAGCCCCAGCAGGCCTGCGGCTGGCACTGACCGCCCACGAAAGAACGAGCGCGGTGCGAGCGTACAGTCTTCTCCCAGCGCCCTGCTCTGTCCGGGGCGGGGACCTCCGAAATGGGTGAGGGGAACGGCGAGCCTAGGGGTGGTTCGGCCTTGGCTCGGCCCGTTGCCCCCTGCCAGAGGTCGGGAGGGAGTGCTGTCCTCGTCGCGCGGGTTCGGAACCTCGCGCCCACTTTCCAGAGCTTCTCCACCCCTCGGGCCTTACTTGCGGAAGGGTCCTGGCTTCGCCCAGTTCTCTGGCACTCACTTAGGTCAGCCTTCGACCTCCCGTTGTATCAATATGCCCAGATTTTAGAGTGAAATACTTAATGCCTACTGTCCCCGTGGGGCATAGCACGGGCTGTGCATAGAACAGGTTCTCAATAAATGTTTGTTAAATTTAACTTGAAGTCACATTTGGCAATATTTTACAGTTTGAGTGGCTCCAAAATCCATATAACTTCCAGCTCTAGTTTTGAAGTTTCTGTCAAAGAAGGTTATAGAATATACAGTTTACTGTAGATATCTCTGTACTTCTCATATGGTAGTATATATTTTAGGTCAGTGAACTTGTTCCCAAACATTTCTTGTCTGCTCTATGGTGACATAGAGGCTTGTAAGAAAGTTTACCCTCCTAGAAGCTCCAACTTAACTGGTCTCTTCTTGCTAGCCCAACAGGTTGAATTCAGACTTAGCCATCAGGAAACAGATGCACTGGCTGTGCAGGCAGTCTCAGCAAAATATTTGCGCTGGCAATGACAAATGGTCCTCAAATTGAAATTATTCTTGTTTAAACACGGATTAAAACTGCACAGGGAAAAGAGTGGAAAGCCAATAATTATCAAGAAAATTCCTAGACACCCATGCTGGTTTGTCCTGAAGAAGGGAGAGAAACATGTCTGAAACGCTTTCCAAGAAGACAAGCTAAGTGGTCATATCAGATAGAGAAAAGTGAGGTGTCATTATTCTCAAAATTGGCTTTCTAGCCTGAGATACATTTTCATGTGACTTGTACTACTAATTTATGACTGAGGACTTAGTAAAACTCCATCTTAGATGTCTAGGTAATAATACTACTTCCAAATGCCACTTTTAGGGGAGTCAGTTGACATGGGTGCTTACTGAACAAGATTTCTCCTTAAAACAAGCCATCGTGCGTACAGCATGTTGTTAAACTGCCACATGGGGGCCTTATTTGATAAAGCTTTTTCTTAATTATCCTCAGCAGTATGTCCTGGGTTTCATTCTTTCTCTACATTACTAATCTAGAGATAATTAATCAATTGTATCCAGTACAAAGTATACTACTACTATAGAGCCACGTGAGTTTTCACACTACTTTTTGAACTTCTCTCAGCATCTATTACAATTCTTTATTTTACTTATCTGAGCATTTGCACAAAGGTTATTCAGAGATGTAAAAAGAATCACAACAAAAATAATTTCAAAGTAGATGGCCAAATTAACCTATAAGAATTCGGTAGAAATGAATGGGCAGACCATACTCATTCACCATTTTCCCAACCTCCTCCTTCTTTCCATCAAAAAAGACAAAATTACAACTGTAACATATACAATGTCCTCAAATCTAAAATGCTGTAAGCCAGAGAGATTATCAAACCATCGTTTATCTTAATCTCCAAAGAAGAAGTGGACTTTCTAAGTATGCCCAAACCTAGCAGCCATACAGAAAAGACAGATACAGTTGAACATACAAATTTTTTTAAAATACACAAAGCAAGTTTCACCATAAGCAAAATTCAAGGAAAATAGGCTGAGAAAATACGTTTGAAACATATCATGGACAAAAAGCTTATTTTTCACATACACAGTACTCCTGCAGATCAATAAGACCTGTTTCAGTAGAATAATGACCATGTAAGCCAAATAGTAGAGAGTAAAAGAGTTAGTGGGAAGTGAGAATCACACAACTCTTTAAAAAAGAGTTTTTTGTGAAGGGGGGAGAAATAAAGAAGAGTGGCATAGAGAAATGTTGAGTAGAGAGGAATGTTGGTGTTTTCTCCCTATTATTGTGTTGTCACTTTTCATGCAAGTGACTTGAGCACATCTTAAAGCTGATGGAATGAACCCACTGGGAGGCAAAGCTTAGTAATGCAAGAGGGGGGAAAACGGTCAGAAGTGAGAATGCAGAAAAGCAATGGGATGCGAGGCACAGATGAATAGATTGACCTTTGGTTAAAGGAACTAATTCTTAATTGTAACTACAGAGAAGGGTGGGAGTATGGCTGCAGATATAAATAGTTTTGAACTTTTATTATTAGAAAGTCGAGGAAGTTCCCATCTGATAACTTCTGCTTTTTCTGTAAATAAAAGACAAAGTCACCAGCTGAAGATTCAAATAGTCCTTCTTATAGTGCATAGTAGAATAAGTTGACTAATGAAATTTAGGTCTCCTGGTCAGTGTTGGAGGACTGACTTGAGATTGGTGGTGATGAGTTTACCGTGAGACACATCCACCCTATTGTGTGACTTTCTTGGACATTGTTAGTGTCTCAGTCAGCTGGGGCTGCCATAACAAAATACCACAGTCTGGACGGCTTAAACGACAGAGATATATTTTCTCATAGTTCTAGAAGCTGACCAGTCCAAGATCAAGGTGCCAGCCAATTTGGTTCTTTGGATTGCGAGTGAGAGAACAAGCTCTCTAGTGTCTCTTCTTTTTATTTTATTTAATTTATTATTTTTTTAAGATTTTATTTTTGCCTTTTTCTCCTCAAAGCCCCCTGGTACATAATTGTGCATTTTTAGTTGTTGGTCCTTCTAGTTGTGGCACGTGGGACACCTCCTCAGCTTGGCTTTTTTTTTTTTTTTTGAGGAAGATTAGCCCTGAGCTAACTGCTGCCAATCCTCCTCTTTTGGCTGAGGAAGACTAGCCGTGAGCTAACATCCGTGCCCATCTTCCTCTACTTTATATGTGGGACGCCTACCACAGCATGGCTTGCCAAGCAGTGCCGTGTCCTCACCCCGGGATCCGAACCCGCCAACCCCAAGCCGCCGAAGCAGAACGTGTGCACTTAACCGCTGCACCACCGGGCCAGCCCTAGTGTCTCTTCTTATAAGGGCACTAATCTCATCTTTAGGCCCCACCTGCATGACCTCATCTAACCGTAATTACCTCCCAAAGGCTCCATGTCCAAATACCATCACATCAGGGGTTAGGACCTCAATGTATGAATTTTGGGGGAACATAAGCATTCAGTCCAGAACAGTTAGGCTGCTGGCAGGCAGGTAATAAGGAAAATGTCGATTTCATGCAGGTCTGAGATTTTATGAAAGGGTAAAAGGAAAAGACGGAAATACAAGGAGGTTTGGGATGTTAACAAGATTGTGATTCTAACGTACTTTTAAGTTGGATCTAGAGAGGTAAAGAAGAAAGGAGAGAAGTGATGGATTGGAGTAGAAAGGAGGGATCAAAGGCCTGGATGATCTGTTGAACTAAAAAATAATCATAAAGGATATAGTTAAGCAAACTAGGAGAGGAGATTAGAGATTGTGGTCAGAGAGTGGTATGCTTAAAATAGGAATTTTGGAATTACAGTAGTTATGGGTGATGACAAAATCCAAGGTGCAATCACGGTAATGTGTGGGAGTGGAGGAGGTAGGCCTGGTGATGCAAAGAACCAAAAAAATTCACAAGTCAGACTGCTGAATGGCCATTTATGCTGTTATGAAGTCACCCGGAATTATGGAAGGATTTAGAATACACAGTAGGTGCTGTGTTATCTTGTCTTCAATAATCTAGATGGATTAAGTGGGAGACTGGTTGACGACAATACTGTCAGATTACCTAAACCTCAAGGACTGAGAGCAAATTTTGTTGGTTTGTTGCTTTTTACAAGAGGGTGGAGAAACAATGACCTAGAAGTGGCAATAGAAACCAGGGAAAACACTACCCCTCTGGCCCTGTGGTGTGAAACGGCTGAAAATGTTGCAAATAACCACATCCATTTGAGTACAACAAGGGAAGCAGGGCCCTTAGAGGAGATCCAGATTTCTGTTGAGGAAAGAGGAGGAAGGGACCACTTAGAAGAAGTGGAGGATATAAGGTAGTATTGATTATAGAGCAAAAGTTCCAGGAGGCATCATAGAAGGGGTGGCAGACAAGGTCACGGCAAGGAAGTGTAAAACATGTTGGTACAATAGGGTATGGATGGTGAGGCTGGCACTATAGGCTGTGTTGAAGAGTACCTTGACAGGTCTCACAAATTGTTCTTTGTAAAAGTCTTAAGCTTTGGGTAAAGGCTAATCAAAACAAAGTGGATTTGGTCTTACTGTTTCTTTGAGGAGGGGAATATGGGCCCTTAGGTCAGAGGGCTTTTTTCCTTTCTTTTTAATCTTGGAAAGTGG